TCGGACTAACAATAGCATAAATCTAAGAACCGACACACATATTTTACATGACACTTATATAAACATCATTAATAATTTATAAAATTTTTTCATTTATCTTATCTTTTCAATAAATTAATTTTGTTTTTTCATTTTTATCGATTTTTGTATGCGATAGATAGCACTCCTTTTGTTTACATTATAATAATACCCTCTCTGTCTCCATCTAGAAAGTACTTCAAATTTGTTTAGAATATTTCTGTAAGTGTTATGTTTCTTTAGTACTGTGTCAAGCATTGCAAGGAATAGTTGGTGTTTTTTGTTCTATACCAAAAATTAATAAAATTTAAATAAATCATTAAAGAATGTGTAGTATATAAGTAACTGTTTTTGAAATTACACTGAAGATGAGACACACCATGGTCTCGAAACGTCTGTAATCATAAAATAAAGTTGTTGTTAAACAAATCTGCGTGTGTTTTGTTCATATTAAACAATTAATATTCGTTCCACTCATATTATAAAATTCTATAATATATATATATATATATATATATATATATATATATATAATATATACCACCAGTGAAAGGTGGAATACATTTACGGAGCACCGCAAAGGGCAGGATGTAACTACAGTTTGGAATCATTTTTTGATTGAAAAGACGGAAGGTTGCTAAATGCAAGAAGTGCGCCGAAAGAAATAAAGTGTACAGGATCCACAAGTGGCCGTCAACCTCACATATAAAACCATATATAGACTAAATATTAAAAAGATGTGTGAATCCCCCTTGAGGCCGAATCAAGTGTTTCTAAACGACCTAACTTGTTATTAACAAATTATTTTAAAAGTAATAAAACGGAAAAACTTTTAAAAGCTTGCCCGAATGACAGCTCGCGAAGGTTTGTTTTTTAATATTTTTATTAATCGTATGATATAAGAGAAGGTTTAAAGGCAAGAGGATTCAACGATATACCAAAATCTGCAGTGATTATTAGAATATGGTTCTTCAATATTGTAAAATTATTAAACAGTCTACAGTGGTTGAAATTGTGATATGTGGTGATGAAGCACCACACAAATTCAGATTACAAAAGAATTGAAGATATGCATTTCAAAATATGCACAATTAAAACAAATTGTTAAACTCAACGAACGGCTCACACAAACAAATCTAGTAGATACAGGACAATATAGAAGAAGTTGATCAAGAAATATCCCTTTCAATACCTTCCCAAATTAAGAATGAAACAATATTGTATCTGACAAGGTAAACGCAATGAAGAAAAAAACTACAGGCAGCAATAGATGAACACTAAATATTTCACCCGTGTGTGTGTTAAAAAAAACTCCAAGTGTAGAACAAAAAATAAAAGATGAAAATACTTTTTTGAAAAAAAAAACAGGAATAAAAGGAACGAACCTACAAAATATGTATAATTTCTTAATTACAATTGTACCAACAAGTGTAGAATCGGAAAGAGCTTTTTCGGCGGTTGGTTATATTGTAATAAAATTCGGTCCTCGCTTGATAATCAAACAATTGATTGTTTATGTTTCTTAAGAACATATTTCATTAAGCAAAAAATTAGCCATGAATTATATTTTTTTCTTTTCTTAAAATATATTAGATAACAAATTCTTATTATAAATGTAGAATGTAAAATGTAACATAGAAAAATATATATTTTTTACTGACACGTTTTTTTTTTCTATCTACTTCTACTCCTTATGTAATAAATAAATAATATGTACTCATTTCAGGACAATATTTGTTAGATTCATATATTATTTGTTAATATGTCAATATAACAACTGAAGAAAGTAAAAATATAACTATTTAATTTTTCATCGACAATACCGGTATTAAAACCGGGATTCCGGAATTTCATTTTTCAAATATCGAATACCGGTATTCAGATTTTTTTTGTACGGTATTGGAAGCCCTAGGTAAAACGGTAATGACTACGGCAAGTTTGCTACCATTACATGAGTAAACTGTCGCGATTATTAAACTCAAGTCAAATTCAAATGATTGATAATGAATGCCGAAGGTTTCATAGCTTTGAATTGCCAGATGATATTCATCTTGATGATACTGTAGATAATTTTTGACACAAAATTTTAATTTACAGAGATAAGAGGTTTGGAATTTTGAAAATCTAGCCAAATATTTCTTAAATATTATGTCGAAGGGATGAGCGCGGTCCGGTGCGCTAAATGTTTTATAGACTAAATAAGTAATAAAGTAAGCTAAACGATTATGGGCGGGCAGCGCATCGGAAACTGTCCCCAAACCGAAGGTAGGTTATTACTTATTATGTGATTAGTGTGTGATGTGACAGGTTGGACACTGGTGGCACCGTGAGTCTAGGATAAGTTTAGAATAAGTCAAATATGTGTGAATATAGATTGTTTAATTATGTCACAAAGAAAAGCCTCTCATTATTAGTATTAATCAAATATTAATTAATTCCCAGCTATTTGCGAGTCAACTGATAAAAGGTAAAATTTAAGTAACAAATAATCAAATAATAAAACGAACTAAAATAATCCGTAGCAAAGTGGTAAAATAATTTGTAACACTGTGTGCAGCTCATCTTTGTCAAAATAGATTTAAATGGGTTCTAAAAATAATTTAGAAATTTCCATCAACATTTCGATAGGAACATATTAAATCCGTGAGGCCGGGCCTAGGGCGGCAGAATTTGGGGAGCGGCAAATTTTTCAGAATGTCAAAAAAATTTTAAACCCGATAAAATGTCTCGATAATTTATTTCAAGGATTAATCCTGATTTTTTTTTATAAATTTACAGATCGTTTTATATAAAATAGAATGTAAGTCGTAATGGGCGAGTGTAATCATTGATTATTGAAAATAACACAGACATCGTATAACAATAACATGTCTCTTGATGGCTATCCAGAAAGACTTTTTAAGTGTTTATCATGATCTCAAATGTCGTTCAAGTTTAATTTATTACCGCAACGATTAATAATTCATCTGCTCTTATCATATCTAAAACTAAACATATCCCAATAAAGAACCATTGTAATCGATTTTTATCGCCTAGAACAATAGCTTTGGCGAGCCGTGCTCGGGTTCGCCCGCTATGCGCGAACTGTGTTGTCCGTGTTCAAGTCAGTGGTTTCCAAACCATTTTTGCGATGCGCACCCCAATCTAATAAAAAAAAAGCGCCCTCTTATTTTTCTAACAATTTCATTTCATAAATATTCAAATATTTAACTGATATTATCAAAATACAAATTAATATGCAATATTATGTAAAAATATACATAAAAAGTGAAAAAATAATGAATTTTTATGTATATTTTTACATAATATTGCATATTAATTTGTAGTCTGATAAATCAGTTAAATATTTAAATATTTATATTATATATATTTCGAAACAGTACGTCACTCTTGGAAAAACCTCGCGCCCTGCTAAGTGTGCGCGAACCACAGGTTGGAAATCACGGGGTTAAGTGGCTGAAATCAAATAATAACAAATGTATAAATCTAAGATCAAACTATAAACAAAACGCAGTAATTATTTCAGTTTTACGATAGCCGTTTAAGTGAAAAGTCTTATAATTTTATTATTTTGTTCAGTATCATTAAAGAATTAATCAGATATTATTTTGAATTAGACTCTTTTTTAACTAAGTTGTTTGGTTTGTCTGAATTTAATCATTTTATTTGCAATTACAATGAGTCGTAAAAGGACAACAGAAGAATCTTTAAAACAAGAGTGTTTACTGAATAAAATTCCAAAAAATTTCTAATTTTATGAGAACTGTGACAAGTTCAAGAAAATTTGTAAGTGATGATCAGCAAGCATTAGGTCATCTGTTGTTTTCATGTTTTATTTTCAAACATTAAGCAAAATTCAAAATTTAAGCAAAATTTTCATGTTGTATTTTGACCAGACCTCTTAGTCATAGATTTTTCATGTTAAACTGCGCAATAACGAGCTGCAATCGTAAAGCAATCAAAGTTACTGTTGAATATGGTAAAGATATTTAAAATTTCTAGGTATTGAATTTGGCAACAAGTTTTTACTTGAGGAAATGTGATATAACACAATCACATATTGTTTTAAAGTTAATATTAACGCTAGAATTTCTTGATAGCCTGTTAGTCTCTAGAAGATTATTTATTGACTTATTAAGGTTTTGCTTTGATTTTTTCAATTCTATCGTTCTTGATATTAACAATTTGTAAACATGGATATTGGGTCGATTTTGACCCATTTTTACAAGAACATTTAAAATTATACGCAGGTGTATACTCAGGAGTGCAGTCAAGAATCAAAGCAACTAACCCCTTAGCAGAATACGTTCCTTGTGCAGCACCTTCCTTAAATTTAGTTGGAACTTGTGCAGCAGAATCTATGACCGAAGCTGTCGGCTTTTTTCTACTCTGCAAGAATTATACAATTTTTTTAGCATTTCAACCAATCGTTGGCAGATCTTAGTACAGCATGCAAGTTTAAGACTGAAAAGCCTTTCTCAAACTCATTGGTCTGCTCGACATGATGCTTGTTACGCATTAGAAAAAGAGTGGTCTGGCACAATTATTGCATTGAAATTTATTGCCGAAAACAAATATGAAAAACCTACAACACGGTGTCAGGCTAGGGGATTGCTGCAAAAATTACAGCATTTGGAAACAGCAATACTAGTCGTTGTTTGGAATGCAAATTTGAAACGCTTCAATGCTGCTAGTAAAAAATTTCAAGACTCAAAATCTAATTTATCATCTGTTTCACAAATGTATAGTCCTTTGGCATTATTTTTACAGAACATGAGAGATAAACAATTTTCTGAATTCGAGGAAAAAGCCAATGCACTTTCTGGGGTAAAAAACTATTATCATGACAACCATCGTAAAAGAACCCAAAAATTTCAGGCAGACAAGTCACAAGAGCATGAGAGTATTTTTATGTGGAGAAGAAAATTTTCGAATAAATATTTATTATCGAATTTTAGATACTTTAAGTGTTCAATTGGCAGGCCGTAAAAGTGCTTATCATACGCTCTATGAAAAATTTAATATTTTTGACCATTTGTCTGAAATGGAAACTAGAGAATTAAAAATTCGGGCAGATGAGTTAGTCACAAAGTATGCTGAAGATTTGGAAGAAACATTAGGAAATGAATGCATTCATTTACAACACCTACTCATAGAATCTTTTTCAAGTAAGGAAGATGTTCGTTCCACTCAAGGAATATATAATTTTTTGCATTCTAATAATCTTCGTGAAGTTTATCCAAATATAGACATTGCTTTACGGATCTTTTTGAGTATTCCTGTCACAAATTGTTCAGGAGAAAGGTCTTTTTCTACTTTGAAAAGGGTAAAAACATATTTACGAGCAAGTATGGGTCAAGATAGACTAGTGCTTTAGCATTACTGACTATCGAAGCACAACTTGTTCAAGAAATTGATTACAATGATATTGTTGATGTTTCTGCTCAGACAAAATCCAGAAAAATATTTACGAATAGCTATAAATTATAGTTTTAGAAAAATGTGTATTATAATCATATTATATTGTTAATATTTAATAAACATTTATTTGTATTATTTAACAATTATTATTTCAAAAAATAAAAAATACATCTAAGTAATTTTAAAATAAAAATATATTTTTTAAATACTAAAATAAATTTTTGTCTATTGAAAAGGGCGGCTGATTTCATAGGGCCTAGGGCGGCAAATAGCTTAATCCGTCACTGGATACGTTGATGACATTCTCACTTGCGTTTCTACTGAAAATTTTGAACTTTTACTTCACAGTTTTAACTTGGTTTAACGAGAAACAAGACAACTCTATTAGCTTCCTGGACGTGAAAATTATGAAAACTACAGGCAATCGGATTATTACTAATTGGTACCAAAAACCTACTTAGTCAGACAGGTATTTAAACTTTCATTCTTACCACCCCTCTAGTATGAAGATAGGTACTATTATCAATTTAGTCGAATACCCCATCCTTCTCTCAGGTAAGCAATTTTGGCCTTCCAGATTATCCCTAATTCGCACGACTTTAATAAACAATTCATATCCTCCTCATCTCATCAACTCTGTCACAACAAATAGACTCAAAGTTCTCAATAGTATGAATTCTTCTTCTTTCCCTATTAAAATTTCTAAAGACAATAATTTTATCGGTAACGTTTGTCTAGCGTATATAAAAGAACTTTTCCCACTTACACAAAAGAATATCACAACATAAAAGCGATTCCAAAAACAAAATCCAATATAAAACAATGCTGACAAATCACATTAATGACCTCAAACATAATTTTTTTCAATCCCACAATCCTACATTTTGAAAGTAACTTATTTAAAAAAAGATTTAGTAAAGGATGCCTAATATCGTGACACAATGAGGCAGCAATAGATAAAAGAACCGACAACAATTTGCTTTGCAGTCCTGGTTTTCCTCCTTGCGTCCCGTTTTTTTCTAAAAGTAATACTTGTCCTGGTTTTAGGTGTTTTGTCCCAAATTTTTAAAAATGTATTGCCAATATTTTTTTAAATATATTTTAACTAGAAAATAGTTAAAAAAATAAAAAGGAACATTAAAAAAATAACTAGGAACCGAAAAAACATGCATGTAAGTTTTCAGCTCATCAACAGATTTACCTGATATGTGCAAATTTGACAAAATTCTGGCTAGTAGATGTAGATACAAAATATATGTTCGACTTTTACAAAGCAATCATTCTCTTATAAGTACTCCACTAGCATTCAAATTTAAATGTAAAAATACTTTGTTAGATGGAACTTTATGCACAAACAAGAGTAAGATACTGAAAACTTGTTTAGTATTGCACCACTAAATAACACTTAATTAATATTAGAGAAAGCAAATCAATATTTTTTGCCAACTACTGACAAAATGTGTCTTAAAATGTTTCATAGATTACAACATATTTAATTATTGTGATCAAATTAACTCTGTTATAAAAAAACATGCAAGAACTTACTGAATTCGATCCCTTATTCAAGTTACCTCAAAATGCTCTTAAATATAGGATGATTTTGTGATGTAAAAAAATCCTCATGTTGAATAGTATTTCTTCACCGACACCTAAAAATAAAAACTATATAATATTTGATATAAAAAAATAAAGATATTAGGTTGTTCCAAAAGTAGTTTTGGTTTTTATAGATTTTTTAACTAGTCATTTTTGTGTAATAAAGTATACTGTACTAAATTATATATTGGCCATTTAACTCAGACATTTTCATTCAAATTTCTAGAAGTAGTGTAATTCCAGGATCATAAAATTTTTGGTTGTTACTAACAAAAAACTGATGAAGGTGCTTCTTGACCCCCTCATTTGAAGCGAAGGTTTTACAGTCTAATAATTGTTTTAGTAACAGAAACAAATAATAGTCCGATTATGACATGCCTAGAGAATACGGTGGGTTTGGCATTGTGTTCCATTCACGGTATAGAAGTTAAAGTCATATCATATAGTTCATTTTCTGTGAAGTATATCCTATAGTTTATTCAGCTGATCACAGCAGGCATCCGAATTAACCATTATGCTATCTTGAAATAACTGAAAACAGACTTCATTTTTGTTTCATGAGCAATTGCATGAGATATATTGTATTCAACCCATTTTTCATTCCTAGTGGTAATTTTCTACAAAAACCAATCATTTTCAGGACGTTTCATAAGTGAATTGCAGACTTTAATGCAGCGACACAAGTTTCTCTGTATGAGAAGCGGGGAAACTCATACAAATCCTAGACCTTTCGAGTGGTCATGAACAATTGAATTTGATAATTTTTATCAATTGAAATGTTTTCTACAGTTAAACAGTAAAATATGTCGACAATGCAGCTAATTGTTTCCATATTTACAGAGACAGAATCCAACAACAACTGTGCATAATTGATCAGCATTTTTCACATATCTTAGTACAACCTTGACAAGATTCAAATCATATAATAATTAGAAGGCTCAGGTGTGATGTTAGTTTTAAAAAAATGCAATTAAATATGTGGTAAAACAACAAAACTACTTTCCAAATTGTTAAAATATATTTAACATGTGCTTTGTCATAACCTCACCCTGAAATTGAAACAATATCGAAGAACAACGAAGTACGTACTCACTTAACAATTATAAATAAGACAAACATTAAGTTTAAAATTAAATTAATAGCGTGGCACATAAACGAATATGAAATTCACAAGCAAATGCAGAATAAAATGCTGTCAAAGTTCTTTGCTTTATTCACAAATTAATCTAATAAGGTTAATGATTAATTCATTAAAATACTAACCATAAGCCTGTAAATAATAATATCGCCAATTAAGGTCATTCATCGTCCATTAAAGCACTGAACTTAAAGAAAATAATTAATATCCAAAACCCTAGACAATATAATACCCAAAACAGACATGTTGAAACACATCCGAAGCACCGAATGACATAAATTACGTTAAACGAAGAATAACGAAGTAACTCGGAGAACAAATGTAAGGGTGTCGGCACACTACCATAAAGCGACGTACGACAAACGTAATCATAGGGTTTGTTCGGAAAGCAGTAACCGACAGTCCGCAACCGTGGGACGCATGCGCAGATGGTTTTGACCGTTCGATGCATGGCCGGTAATCTCGGAACAAACGTCTGTAACCCGAGTTTAGTTAGAGCCCCTGCCGCCGGTCGCGCTTGTCTTTTTTTTTTTTTTTTTTTTTTCACTTTGAAATCGAATTTGACATATGACAGATACGTAAATCAAACATGGCGTCCATTGTAATAAATTTTTCATGAAGAGATAACCTAGACAATATAATAAATGCTTGTTAAAGTAAAAAACAAATAAGCTGTCGAAGTGCATTGTTTAACGATGAAGAAATACCAAGAAAAATGCATGTATTATGTAGTTCCAGCGAGAAACGACGAAGTAAAAGTAAAATAGTTAATAATATTTGCCGGCTTTCAATCTAAGTGAGTACTTTTATTAATATGCATACTTCGAATTACTTTCATTTGATTGTACTATTCTGATATGATTTTTCATTACAGTTTAATAATTCAGAAATAATTGAGACATTTAACTATATCAATACTAGAAATTTTAAGGTTATAAATAGATAGAGAGAATTCCTGTCAGCTTTCTGAAAGGTATGTTATTAAATAACTAAATATAAATTATTCTTGTTCTAATAATGTAGGATCATAACTAATAATTCTACATCAATTTTTTCAGCAGTATAAAAGGAAAATACGTTTAAATGTAAAATGTTTAGACGGTTTACTAAACACATTCACAAGTATACAAGTATTGATACGAGATGAATGAATACACAGGAAAAAACAATAAGAATGAAGTCTGAAATGTGCTGAAATCTTTGCTGATCTCCCACTAATATTGAACAGTAGGACTCGTAATTATATATTAAGTCAGTTTGGAGAACATACTAAAAACACTAATGATATAATCGTAAGTGGAAGGAAATTCTCAATTAATGGTGAAATTCTAGCTAGTGCAAAGGTTAATTTAGGTTTGGCTATGTCACAGGAAAAGTTTTTAAGTATTAATAATTTTATTGATTCATTGATATTACAAGAAATATTATTATCTGTGTTGTTTAATGATGATAAAGGGAATCACATTGTATAGATTTTCAGGAACTGTCAAATGACAGGCAAAGTATAATCATGATTAATGATAAAATTCTACCTAGTGCAAAGGGATAAAACACCCTTAATGTGCACTGCTTATTGCATTTGACTATTCTGAAAGAGTTGTCAATAGCTTTACTCTAAAATGTCTTATTGTAGATGCTATAAGAAAACTATTAAGTACTGTTATGATAATATCAATGATTGTTGTTTTTCTTTAAGACAATGATAATAATGACATTTTGAACAAACATTTGAATGCACATTAACAATAGCGCAGAAAAGATTCCCAAATAGAGACTGTACATCATAGATATTATGTAACTTAATGTAAATCAAAATAAATATATATGTAAATATATATATATATATATATATATATATATATATATATATATATATACACATGCAGGCCTTATCTATGCATGCAGGTATGAATTGTGGTTATATATGTATATGTATATATATAAATAATATCTACTTTCATGTACATTTCTATTCTTTTTGTGCTCAGCTTGAAAGGCTGATATGCTAAAATGATATTACACACACATATATATATGTATATATATATATATATGTTAAAGTAGTTAATTTTGATGTTGAGAAATATGAGTAAGTTCTTCAAGGGCATACATCAAATAAAAGGCAAAGATTTAGAAGTTAATCTTTAATTTTTCCAAATGTTTCGACATAGTATTTTATGTCATCATCAGTGGATCTACAGAATGAATATTGAAAAATTAAT